CCGTTCTCCAGCGTTTGGAGACTGTTCTCCCTTCGTTCAGAGAACTGCTTCATAAACTGCATTCACAGGAGAACTGTGTTTCTCCGAGAATGCCGGAGAACTGAGCAGCGATCTATTACCGCTGGTCCATAAATGGACACCTCAGAGACAGACAAGAAACTGGCATTGTCCATCTCAGTAATCACAAGGCACAGAGTCACTCTGATTAGCTCTTTGCATTTTGCCTGTAATATAATGACAACACAGTTATAAGCATGGTGTACACGCCTGACCCCAACATGTACTCTGCAGCAGGACATTTTTGGGAGGCAGTTAAAGTGGTTGCAGAAGTAAAGGATTTTTTACCATAATGCATTCTATGCATTAGGAAAACAACCTTTTAAGTGCAGCTCCCCCCGCAGCCTCCCCTAAATACTCACCTGACACCAATCTTGGTCCACTTCTGTACACCCTACAGCAGATCTGCTCCCCTCTCCCAGCTCCCATAGGTTTGGCTGAGAGCATCGGAAGCCATTGACTCCATTGGCAGTCAGTCCAAACCTGTGAACAGGAAGGGGGGGAGGGGAGAGGTCGAGCTGGGCTTTGCATAACTGCCCCAATTGAAGCGGCTTCCTATGGGGGTACTCAGAGGGGGAAGGGAGCCAGATCGAGACTGCTCTGTGCAAAACCATGTATGACAAGAGTGACATGTTTTTTATTTTCATGTTAAAACAAAAAATTATATTTAATATCACTTGTCACTGTCACCAATACAGATTGTGAAGCAACTACGTGTAGCATGGTGATGAGGTCACCACTGCTTTTACAAAGTGAGATCCTGGTTTAAAAAGACACTTGGTAAATACAACATCGATTTATATCCTTTTTGGCTATTGAAGAAGATATATAAGGCCTAACTCCAAGAATATGAAACAATCTACCGTTGCAGTGGGACTCCCCTGCACTGCAAGCGCTAATGCTCGTTATGTATAGGGGTGCTGGAATAAGGAGAACTACTTACCTTACCAGTAGGGTCCCTCCAGCGGCACAGATGGTACCCCACAGCCTTCCCTGTAAGCAGATACGACCATGACTGTGGCTGTACTCCTGCCTCCTCATAGACTAGAGCAGCCATTCTCAACCAGGGTGCCCCGGCACCCTGGGGTACCTTGAGGTTTCTTCAGGGGTGCCTTGTCAAAATGTCTATAAATTGCCCAAAACATGTATACAAGCTAGCGGGTGGAACAAGCCTGCCATTATAGTTACACAAAGCCACAGGTCTTCATTGTGCACCATTATGACCTTCTAGCCACCGATGTCCTGACAACCAATAACATCATCAGTTGATCAGGAAGATGTCAGCTGCCTGCACAGCAACCTAGTTTGACCCACCCCTGCCCCTCTCCATCAGCTCTGGGGTCACATTAGCTTAGTGACGGATAAAAAAACTGAGGGAGAAGAGCAACACTGGAATACTAATCAGTACCAGTGTACAAAAGTGTATTTGCTTTGGAATAAAAAATCACCTGTAATGTTGGGTGTCCTACATGTGTGGATATTGCAGCGTTAAATAAAACTATTAGAATAGTTTTTCACGTTTTAGAATGGGGCACCCATTTAAAATTATGGACAGTCTTGAGGCACCCCAGTTTAGAATGGGGTGCCTCCAAACTGTCCATAATTTTAAAGGGTGCCTTGGGACTATCCATAATTTTAAAGGGTGCCTTGACTGAAAAAAGGTTGAGAAACACTCGACTAGAGCTTCACAGAGGGGAGGGGATTGGAGCAGGAATGTCAAAATTCCTGGAGTTCAGGTTTAGATGAAGGTTTGTGTCTGGAGTTATGCTTTAAAGTGAACCCTGCAGAAAATGCAAGGCCAACTTAAGCCTAGTATAAATGATAAGAAAATCAAGTGAAAAATACCGCTTTTGGAGCAGTTGTCTGATAGTCTGATCGTAAGTACATAGCTTTTGAGAGCTGAACACAACAGTTCATGCACAATTATCCAAAGGGACAAGCATGAAAATCTAATTTTAATTGTAATTAGTATAGTATTCGTCTGTACAAAAATTGAGCAACCAGGACCATGCATGCTCGGGAATGTACGAATACAATACAATACCATACATTACATCACTTTTGATGTTGTATTCTGTCTTACAAGAATTTTTGTAACTCTAGCAACCTCTTCATTTTAGATATGAGACTAGCATGCAAAAAAAGAGATCATTCGTCTTTATCCTCTGTGTAAAAAGCACTAACTGAAAGCAAATAAAAAAAAAAATTAAGAAATATGTTATAAAAAAAAGAGGCCAGAGCAAGGGTGTAAGGTAAACAATAATGCCAAAAACTGTACCCCCTAGGAATACTGAGCATTTAACCCTTCCATTGAGGGAAGGGGGCACTGTATTGGTAGATATTTTCAAATTACTGGAGTTTGATTTTAAAAAAGGTTTTTGTATCTTGAATTCTGATTTAAAGGGATCTTGCAGAAAATACATCCACTAATGTTGCAGCCCTTCATCATCTGAATATAAAGTGGTAACTAAAAGCAATTAAAAAAAAAACTTTAATGAAAATTTTAAAAATTGAGCTTGCTCACCTAGGTAGCAGTGACATCACTAAGCCTTCATGTGGGATCTTGGGAAAACAGAGAATTTTGAAATCTGTGAGAATGTGCTCCTGAACAGCGCTGGAGCACCTTCTAGTGATATTTGTAATTTTCAACTTTCCCTGAATCTTGCCCAAGAAAATCACTGGTACCTGCCAGAAACTGGACTGTAAGGTATGTATTTCTACATTTTTCAGTTTTACAGTTTTTTGTTAATCACTGCGCTTAGGTCTGAAATGTAAGCGGTCCACTTTGAGTATTACAGAAAAAAAAACACTTTTCTGTGGCCTTTCCATCAGTATTTCTGGGGTGGACCAGTTGCTAGGTGTGTATATGTGGAGGAAAAAAGTTCTGAGTTATCTACAAGAACAACACAATCGGTATTACCCTAATGTAAATGGTATGTCAACAACATATGTGGTGGTCAAATGTAGAGCTGAAACACAGAGAAAAGTAATCGATGCATTTCAGTGGAGTACACACAAGCCATATTTAAATTGGATAGATAATGGAAAACTTCTTGAAGGCTCGATGTGATACAGAAAGGAAGATGGGTAGGAACGAACATCAAAAAGTTGGAAGTAATGAAACAGATCTTTGTTGTGTTTATGTTGTGTTCAACAGTGCATACGTCACTGATATTCCTCCCGTTCAAAGGAAATGAAACATACTGAATATACAGTATGAGCATTATAGATGCTTTCAAATCTGTTCATAAAGTACATGAAAAGTGTGCGGTGAGTGCAATGCCAGAGGAAAGCAATTTAGAGTTGTCAGAAGAGATGGCAAGTACATTATTGTAGCTCAGTTAATGTTGCTCATCATCCTACCAACTCAGGTTGCTATGGCAACACATAATATAGAAACAAATGGCATAACGCTCTGCTATTGTAAATTAAAACTATTGAGGAGTCCTTTGAGCATGGAAATTCAGAAAGCTGGAGGATACTTAGCTAACAAACAGGGCCAGATCGCCTGAGCATATAGGTACACAGATATTGGTGCTGCTAGGATCATTTTCTGGTTTTACTAATCCTAACCTAGCATTGGACAAAGTGGCACTGCTAAACGTGAGATAAAAATACATTTGTAACATAACTATACCAGGAAGTGTCACCCCTTCTGCCTCTGTCACCCATAGGAACAGGTCTACTGTGTCTGACAACGACTCCATCAATGACTACAAAGGTCATACAACTACAAGGGGAATACTAACATCCTTCAGTTAATTAAAGCTAAAGTCCAGGAATAACTAAAATTTACCCTTGCAGTGAGACCCTCTGCACTTCAAAGGGTAACTGCTTGCTAGGTCTAGGAGTGCATGAATATGGAGTAATTCTGTACATACCCCCATATTACCTGCTCTGGCAGGCTCTCTCCATCCATGCAACCAGTCCAGCCCCATTGCCTCCTCTTTAACCTCCCTAGCGGTCTGATTATGTCCATATTTCTGTGCTGAAAGCAGTACATTGTTTTTAATGGAAATATGTTGTTTTTTTTATTGTAGGCCTGTAATTCTTAGGAATAACTTGCTGAAATCTGTCCGAACAAAAGTCTAGTAAACATCCCGGGTATGATAAAATTTGAAACACGAAATCATAAATTATAATAGAATAATCATAACAATATATACCGTATTTTTCGCTCCATAAGACGCACCTGACCAAAAGACGCGGCTAGGTTTTAGAGGCGGAAAACAAGAAAAAAAATATTCTGAACCAATGGACTGCAGACATAGTACAGGAGATGACCAGAGACTGCAGACATAGTACAGGAGATGACCAGAGGCTGCGGACACAGTACAGGAGATGACCAGAGACTGCGGACATAGTACAGGAGTTGACCAGAGGCTGCGGACACAGTACAGGAGATGACCAGAGACTGCAGACACAGTATAGGAGATGACCAGAGACTGCAGACAAGATGACCAGAGGCTGCGGACACAGTACAGGAGATGACCAGAGACTGCGGACACAGTACAGGGTATGACCTGAGACTGCGGACAGTATAGGGGATGACCAGAGACTGCGAACAGTACAGGGGATGACCAGAGACTACGGACAGTATAGGGGATGACCAAGAGACTGTGGACAGTATAGGTAATGACCAAGAGACTGCGGACAGTATAGGGGATTACCAAGAGACTGCGGACAGTACAGGGGATGACCAAGAGACTGCGGACAGTACAGGGGATGATCAAGAGACTGCAGACAGTGCAGGGGATGACCAGAGACTGCGGACATGGTACAGGAAATGACCAGAGACTGCGGACAGTGCAGGAGATGACCAGAGACTGCGGACAGTACAGCAGATGACCAGAGACTGCAGACAGTGCAGGGGATGACCAGAGACTGCGAAGACAGTACAGGAGATGACCAGAGACTGCAGACAGTGCAGGGGATGACCAGAGACTGCGGAGACAGTACAGGAGATGACCAGAGACTGCAGACAGTGCAGGGGATGACCAGAGACTGCAGACACAGTACAGATGACCAGAGACTGCGGACACAGTACAGGAGATGACCAGAGACTGCGGACACAGTACAGGAGATGACCAGAGACTGCGGGCATAGTACAGGGGATGACCAGAGACTGCGGGCATAGTACAGGAGATGACCAGAGACTGCGGACACAGTACAGGAGAACACCAGAGACTGCGGGCATAGTACAGGGGATGACCAGAGACTGCGGGCATAGTACAGGGGATGACCAGAGACTGCGGACAGTGCAGGGGGTGACCAGAGACTGCAGACAGTACAGGAGATGAACAGAGACTGCGGACAGTACAGGGGATGACCAGAGACTGCAGACAGTACAGGAGATGACCAGAGACTGCAGACAGTACAGGGGATGACTAAGAGACTGCGGACCTTTGGGGAGGGAGGGGGAGCGGGTACCTGAATTTGACAGGTACCCGCTCCCACTTCCGTGGAGTTGTCCTCCCTTTACTGTGGGCACCCAGCTGACAGCCGGGTGCCCAGTGCGCCTGCGTGAGAAGCGCTGCTCTTTGTGATTGGTCCGGCGTCTTCAGGGACCTGTCATGTGTCCCAGAAGACGCTGTACCATTCACAAAGCGCAGCGCTTCTCGTGTATGCGCACTGGGCACCCGGCTGTCACAGCCGAGAGCCCACAATAAAGAAGCCGGCACGGGAAGACTGTACAGCGATAGACCGAGGAACAGGTAAGGTTCTGCTGCAGAGAAGAGCTGAGCAGCCGGCCCGGTATTCTGACACAGCGGCAGTAGAAATACTGGACCGGCTGCTCCATATTCGCTCCATAAGACGCACTGACATTTTCCCCCTTTTTTGGGGGGAAAAAAAGCGCATCTTATGAAGCGAAAAATACAGTAATAATAATAATACATTTTACTCAATAATGTAATCAAACCAAAAACACTGAAATTTGAAATATAGCGCCAAGTTCGCACATCACTGAGCAAAGTCGCAGAATCGTTTTCAGTGTCTGATAACGAATCTCCCCACAAATCATTATCACTCAATTCTGCAAGTGATTCTAATTTACTATCGCTGTTCTCTAGCTGGTCTAAAACCGATTTTAACCTAAAGGGACGCTTTTGGATGCCATGGACGTTTCCAGGCAGAAAGAACAGTAAAAATGCAGGCAGGGCACAGGACAAAGCACTACGAACAAAATGTATGTGAAATGCTTTGACACAGTAATGTAATACTATCAGATTTTAGTGTATTATGTGTATGTAAAATTTTGACATTTTTGAATCTCCCACCAATTCCATCCCCCCGTACGTCACGACACTCGCAGAGGACGGAACCCAGAAGACAGATGCTGGCATCGGCCGGAGAACATGGCCGGGGACGCAGCGGGAGGAGAGCGCGGGACCGCGGGACAAGGTAAGTGATCCAGGGATCCCAGAGCAATGCTGCAGTGTAATCTCGAGTGTAGCTCGGGGTTACCGCTTCTGGTGCTGAAACTTAACCCTGAGCTACACTCAGGAACACCGCCAGGGGGGTTAAGGCACTCTGTCCGCAGTCCCACTCCAGCCTCCTTCCTGTACAATGTAGAGATAATAGCCATGCCCAGCACAATGCTGGAGCCAGCCGAAAGCAGGAGTAAGGTAAGGAAAACACTCCACTTCATCAAACCCCTAGACTTAGATTTAATAGGCATTTAACCCTTGTGACGTGAGGAAGGGGGGACACTGCAAGGGTAGATTTTAGCTAATTGCCAGAAATCAGCTTTAAAGGATAAGTTCACCTTTTAGTAAAAAATAATAAATACACATTTTTTTGCAGGTAAACAAATGTGCATTTATTATTTTTGCCTGCAGGAACCTGTAAAGTATTGCACCAGCGATCAGCAGATCCCTGGCGCCATGCCGGGACTTGTAGTCTCATCATTTACAGAATGCTGTTAATGATTGACGTGGCCAGGTGGGCAGAGCCACTATTTTTTCAAGTTGACAGCTAGCGGAGGGATATCCCCCGCATTCTGTCAAAATGGGGATTATGGGGGAGTGGGGACCGGTCAGATTGTAACATGTTACACCCTGAATATGTGTGTGTAACATGTAACATGTTACAAAAGATGAACTTATCCTTTAATCCCCTATAGTGCAGTAGGGGCTTGATGCCCTGGAGATCAATAAGGAAATCTGTTCCATGACATTATCAGTTTCCATGAGATTGTTTTTTAATCATCACATGATTTATCATTAACATTGAAATCATTTCTTGCATGTGAAAAATGAACAAATTCATATCCTAATTTTTAATTAATTTTAAGAGAACCCTAGTTTAAAACAAATAACTTCAAGTGCAATATAATGTGCTACAAATATTGCTGTTCCTAGGTGTTGCATTACTTTCTTAAACAGTTAGTTCTGAAAAAATGAAACGGTGAACTAATACCTTATACCCTCCCCAGTTGTTGCTGTACTTACCTTTGTGGTATCAGATTGATTCTCTATCCTGGAGATGACCATTCAGAATGGCTCTTATCTAACCTGGAAGCCTTACAGAAAGAAGAGGGAGGATAGTGGGGATTTCAAATCCCTGGATTGCTTCACCAGCTGAGTGGGCACTGACAGCACATCAAACACGGAATTAAGTACAGTGGGGATGGTGAAGGGTGTACAGAAGCCATTCTTAACCAGGGTTCCTCCAGTGGTGGCAAGGGGTACCTTGAGTTTTGGCTAACTGGCCTCCCATCTGATGATGCCTTCATAGTTCCAGATCCAACACCACTTGGAAGAGGCAACAGCATAAATGCAAGGATGTAACTCTGGCCAGGCTTATAAGGGAATATTCCAACTTTCCACCACCGGTGTATGGGAATTTTCCCAATGACCTCAGTGGCATCATTTTTCCAGGGGTTCTCTTGAACTTGAAAATTATTTCAAGGCTTCTCTGGGGCAAATAGGTTAAGAAAGACTGGTGTACAATATTAGTTCACCTTTTCATTTTTTTTTTTTTTTCGAAAAGGTGAACTTACACTTTAAGCTGAACACTGTGGAGTTATAAATTAACAGTTTTCAATCCGTGTAATAAATTAATAATTTAAAAGGAATGCTAAGAGTTCTTGTACAAATTTTCTAGATTTATTATGGTCAGGACTAAAATAAAAACATTTTAAAAAGGCTCTTATCTTCATCCTGGTAAATTTGAAAAATTGCATATTAATATAAAGCAGTCTTCTATCCACTAGCATAATTATTTGTACTTGATTACAGAACTCCATTTAGCTATCAGAGCAGTTAGACCCTGACACCAACTTAAAAAATGCAGATAAAAGCACAGAAAAATCATGTATTAAAGTAGAACTATAGGCAAAACATTTGTTTCATTTTGGATAGAGTAAGGGAGGGTTATAACCCCTGTCAGTTTATTTTTTTGCCATCTGTGTCCCATTAGGGAGATTTACCTTCACTTCCTGTTCCATAGCCAAAAGAGGAAGTGAGAGATAATCCCTGCAAATTAAGGACATTGCTTGGGGACTCCCAGGTCACCAGAACTAGTGTCCCCAACAACCCAAAAATTGAGGTTTTCTATTCTTTCACTTTCAATGATATTGGTAAACAGGACTGATAGAGAGGATGAATCTACCTAAAGGGGGCACAGACAGCAATACAAACCTGACAGGGGTTATAATCCCTCTCTACTCTGTCCAAAACTAAAAAAAAAGTGTTGCCTTCAGTTACACTTTAAATAATTGCTTGCAATGTTATTCCTTTCTATAAATGACATATTCAGAGTGGGGGAGAGAGAGACAGAAAGAGAGCGTGAGAACAAAGGTTTGTAAACCTAAATGTTCCTTTGGTTTTCTTCACAAGGCAACCATGGCACCAGCAGCCTTGGACCATCATGTGACCTAGTGAGAAATCTGCCGCTAATTTTGGCCAGTGTGACCACAGACAACATACTCAGACAAAAGCAGAATAAAAATGGCTGAGCCATCATGAGTTAAGAATACAAACTACTCCTAGAGAGATGATCTATGAGTTCTTCAGGTATGAGGTATAGAGGTTGATTTAACAAGGACAAATAGGCTGTTCACTTAGCAAAGTGTTTTTTTTTTCTTTACATTTTCCTTACGCATGATTAAGTATTCCGTGGAAAGTGGATTTTTACCACATTCTCTAAACTAAGTGAAAATTCTCTTGCAAAGTGAATATTCACTTTGCCAAGTGAACATCCTTTAGTAAATTAACCTCATAGGCTCAGCTAACTATAGTAGAAGGCATTTTGAAAGTCAGGCAGAATGTTGTTTGTCTGATAAGCTCCGCTGTTAAACCAACAACCAACAAACATAACTCCTAATCACATTTTTCTGCAAGATCCACCATTATTTACAAGCACAACTGAGATTGCAGACTGTGCCACAGGATAATCTGTTCTGTCCCAATCTGAACAAATTTGGACTATGACAATCAGGACCATTACTGCAAGCAGACACAATGCTTGAAATATTAAAGTGGTAGTAAATCGCGGCCTCTCATTAAAAAAAAAATAAAAAATCCCCTGCAAGTCACTGGCATAATGAGCTAGTATGCATCACATACTAGCACATTATGAAATACTTACCTTAGAATGAAGCCCTCCAGCGGTGCACTGTCATCGCTGACCAGGCTTCCATCTTCCCTCGTTCTTCATTCTGGGTTCACTGGCTCCAGTCCTTTCAATGGCTGCGATGACATCACTCCCATGCATGTGCACAGGAGTCACAGTTTACCGTACAGAGCTCTGAAGGGGTGGCACTGGTATGTTGTTCCTTCAGAGTGCAAGCACCGGTGGTGTCACAGGCTACATCCAGTGTTAATATCTCCTAAACACCCCCCAAGTTTAGGAGATATTCACTGTTCCTACAAATAAGGAGGGACGGAAGGGCTTACCTGTAGGCACAGGTTCAGCTTACTTGTAGGCACAAGTTCAAAATTGGAGTTTACTACCACTTTAAAGGTATGACTATCCAATCGATACAAGCATGGAATATTACTCCTCAGGAAGTGGTCAAACAACATGTCAATTCAGTGACTAACAGTATAAATATGTATATGACCTCAAACAGAGGCCACGCGGCATCAGTTTTCATTAATTCAGCTAAATACATTTGTTCCAAATCATTTCAGTGTGTAATTACTTACATATATTTCAGGGGTGCTCAACCTTTTGAAGAGCGCAGGCCACTTAAGTGATTTGGTATCCAGTTCTTGGCCACAATGAACAGAAATGGTTCAGAATTTATTTTATTTTATTTAATTTTTAATAGCAGCATAATCAACAATTTAAACAACAACCAGATCATCATTTTCCATGGGGCCGATCCCTGTTGTATATTTACCCACTGTTTAAGCACAATCACAAAAATCACATTCTTTATTAACCAGAGATCACCATTAAAGGATAAGTTCACCTTTCTAAAAAGAATAATAAATGCACATTTTTTTTTGCAGGTAAAAAATGTGCATTTTTACTTTTTTTTTCTGTTTTTAGGGACCTGTAAAGCATTGCACCCGCAATCAGAAGATCGCAGATGGGTGCGATCTCAGGTTGATGCAGATTGGCAGTGTAGCCCTGGTAGTTCACTGGGGACTACAAGTCGTCTGATACAAAGGCTATCGGTACTTGACGTTCATTCATTCATACAATTCTGTTAATGGATGACACAGCTGTGTTCATGGAG